CAACCATTCGAAAAAATAATCAGCTCCTATCCCACGATTGTATTGTCACGTGACTTAAATTTGTCGAACAAGCAAAATATATTCTTACTAGGAATTATTTATATAGTTAGGGTAAGGTATGGTTGGAGTGGAGTGAAGCATGGATTTCTGTAATACACAGTTTTGGGTGAGTATTTCAGCTTAATATTTGAAACTTTAGAACCAAAACATTTAAATTCCTGTTCTAGCATCAGTTTGTTACAGTGATCAAGCACAATGGAATGATCCTTAAATGGTATAATAGAAGCACAAATTAAAAGATAAAAAAGACAAATATTATGGATAGATAATTCATTATATTCCGGGTTACGGCGTGAAAACCACATTGAAACGTTGAAATAATAAATATTCTAATAGTATGAATTAGGTGTGAAATGGTTAAAACAGTCCCATCAGAGAGACAAGGAACTTTTCCCATATGAATATCAGTGCTTCCGACGGCAAAGAAGAAATCCGAAAATAGGCTTATACCTGATTATGCCTGATTATAAGCTCTGACTAACGATTAAGCGCCTCATTCGCAGAGCCATCGAAAGTTCAAGACGAAATCATAACAAATGGATTTGGGAATACTTTCCTTACCGTATTAAGGACGATTGTAATAAAGGACAACTGGCTGTCCACATTTTGTTCTTTTCGACTTCTAACTTTAATGCGAACAGTAGGTAGCACACAGGGGCTTCCGAGTTTTGTCTCATGCAAATGCCTTATGCACAGAACCGTAGCCAGACTTGATGAGGGACAAGTAATATACGCGGAAGAGCAATGGTGTATGGTGTTTAGTTTCTGTAATGGCTTTTGTCGGCTGTCCGAATTTTTTCATGGAGGAGGGTTGGGGGGGGGGGGGGGGGAGGGGGGGGGAATCCCCCGGTAGCCACAGGCCTGCTTTTGCAGTTTTCCATTAGGTACGTATTTTGAGAAAAATATGTTTATATCTCTGAATGAATTAAATATATAAAAACTAACATTAATTATACGAAAACCAGTATTACATAACCTTGAATGTCTGAAATGAAAAATTAGGCTAACTTGTTTTTATCACATGACTACAAGAGTGATATAATAATAAGGCATCGTTTACACTACCGTCGTATTCACAATTTTCATCATTAAACACGTCGTAAATTATACCTGAAAATATTTCTAAAATATGCTATTTAGTTCAATGTAACTACTCGATCAAACTGAATTTGTTTTAAAAGGGTTAATTTAGAATCGGGTTAACTAGTTCATAGTTGATATGAAAACTGGGTGTACTAATTGTTAACAAAGCAATAACAAAACAGTTTGATCAGAATTTTTCTCTCTAATTAGGCGTTTAGCATTCTGAAATCTTTATAGTAGTTTTCCATCACCTTCCAAAAAACATAAAAAAAAATTAAATAGTTAACGCAAAACATTCAAATATTTTTGGCGTTGAAAAATTAACGAATGAAGGATTTGTTCAGTTAAAATTTCGGATGACATAAGGAACACATATCTCTTTATTTTAGTTTCTATTTTGAATTAATTTGAGTATCAAACATTTTCAACCCACTAAAAATATCAGACTGCCCTTTTAAGATAATATAGGAGTAGAAACTAGGCAATGTAGTCGAGATAAACATAGATAGTATATCGAATTCTGCGCCTTAAACTTCAATAAGTTAAATAAAGGTATTGTAGAGAGGTTAAGTTAATAGGGGGAGCAATCCTTGATTTATGATCTTCTTTACTTTTAACTTTGTTGAAAACGGCGCGATTGCAATTTTTTTTTTACATAACATTCAGTTATGAGCTCATCGTATCACGAATTCGAGTAAGTATGGCGAGTTGGGCGTGGTTTGGACACGATGTTACGAGCCCTGCTATGATATAAATATTTAAAAAGCTGCTATGTAAATCGGTACACACCTTTTATAACTGTATCAAACTGTTGCACCGATGCAAAATATAAAACCAAATCATAGAAGATTGCTGCGCGGGAGCTATGGAATGGACAAGTTGAACACAGTACATCCCAATGGTTTAAACCTTCAGCATGATAATCAAGTAATCACTAAGTATAATTATATTGCGACCAACGCGTCAGTTGAAAAAACACTACAAAGATCTGCAAACAAAACAAATACCCACATGTAAATCGCATTGTTCTCTTCCTATGAAAATGTGAACCAGGCTTTAAGACGCCGTTGAATTCACAAGTCTAAAAGATAGATGAACATGTCATCATTCATATTTTTTTATAGCACATTTTTGTGCATTTTAAGCGACATAATATGTCAGATACACTCCTTTTTGCACCTTACCGCAAAATATTAAAAGCTAAACCTTGAGACAGGATATGATTACTCTTCTAGACACCTGATACCACTTTTCATTATGTAACACTTACTCATTAATGTTGAAACCGACACTTTTTACCATCTCATCAAAGTACGAAATAAGATCTGTCGACAGAAATGTTAGTTGTTGAGTGAAGTCACTGTGTCACTGTGATTATGAATGCATGCACTGACAGGTGAGGAAAGAGAAAACGTAAGTACACCAAGGCAATTGGGGTAAATGCATCCTGCTGAATTTTGCTTAAAAAATTATATAATTATGAAATCTAAACGAAATTTTGTGTGAAAAATTGAAAATATAAATATATTATCTCTAAATATATCGCTACTTAATGTCAGCCGAAAGTGATGAAATAAAGTAATAACAAGGGCTGTGTGTACATTAAGGCAAATTTGACAAAAATAAAGTAGAAATAAAATGAAAATGAAAAATTTAAAAATATTGATATATCAGCTGATATATTGCTTATTTGATATCTACAACAAAGTGGTTACAGTGGTTATTGTTTACAGAAAACGTTGCGCTGCATGACATATCTCATTTTTGTCTTATAACTGACTTCAAAGGCAACAGGATTTTTGCCCCATACAAAAAGAACCCATTACGGCCCCGATAACTGACTTCAAAGGCACAGAACTTGCCCAAGAATATCTAGCCATACCTGCAAGCAGCATGGCAGTAGAGAGCATGATTTCCATCACAGGACTTAGGCCATACCAAAATCATGTTCTGCTTTTCGGGATTTCTTGAAAAAAATAATACGAGCGAACGAAATTAAAAAAAATTGTGCTTCATTTATGTCATGAATTATCCGAGTTTAACAAAGGAATTAGATTAATTCAAAAATAAATGAAAGGCCTGCAGTTTTAAAATCTGGTCAAAAAATGGAAAAAATGTTGAATTCAAAATCATTTCATAAGAAAAGAAACATGTTCTAGCTCAAACTGATGCTGTAAAAAATTTTTTTTTTTTGAGAATTCTTCGTATACATACGGATTTTTACTTTTTAATTTCAAATAGTAATATTTCGAGAACGGAAAGTCGGGTACGGAATTCCCGATGAACAGAAAATTATTTTGGTAAGGCCTTACCCTAATATTCAAGACGATCATCACTTAGTACTGTCGCACTGAACATAAAATTTGAAAAGATTTTATACAAATTGTGAGATGATTATTTGAATAAATGAATAATAACAAAAAAAACCTTTATATAATACCACATACAATGTATGTTTTTGTATTTAACTTGCTATTTTTTTAATTGAGGAAATCATCTAATTTTTAAAAACTAGCTAGCTGAAAAAATCTGATTAGTCAGCCAGTTCCAACCATTTTTTGCACAATAAATCAAATTCAGTGGTTTAACGTATTCAATATGTAAACGAAAGGCGTAAATGCTTTAATATAACGCAGTGGCATGGTTCAAAGGATTATAAAGATATTTTCTAATGTTTATTATATGTCCAGTAGACACTGAATTTTGCAAAACTTCCTTTTTTCGATCTTACAATCGGGAGATTAAGACTTTCTCCGAGATACACAAAATGTATAAACAAAATAATGCACTTCTTGTAATGGCAGAAGTGGAGCCAGGTTTACGTCCGAGAAGGGGGGAAGTGAGGGCGAGATATCTGAGATTGCCCGAATCTTTAACCTAATTATGAGATTTTTGCCCGAAAAACATGCTTTCGGGGCTGCGAGGGGGCTGCGAGGGTTTGTGCTGCCCCCTCTGCCCCCCCCCCCCCCCTTTGGCTCCGCCACTGTGGATTGGGCATCATTCTGGGCATTATTCTGAGCATATTTCTCTTAGAACCAAACCCACACTTTCACCCAATCAGCATTGTCTAAATTTTCTTTTAAGCGGAAATTAATTTCATAAAGATATTCTTAATCACGTGACATTTGATTGACAGCTTGCATAAGTTTCTACGTCACTTCATTCTCTCCACCCACCTCTTAACCACTTTATTTTAATTTTATTTTTTCTGTTATCATTAACTTTGTTGCACCGTAGAGTTTATTTTAAGCAGACAGGTTAACAATACAACAAAAACAAAATGTTTTGCACTTTTCATGACATTATTTATTGCTGAAATGACATTTCTTGATGTTTTCAAATATTAAATAATTTACTCATGACTGCGTTTTAAGAACCACTTCTTTGTGATAAAAAACGCTCAATAATCACTGAAATCCATGTTTCTATGTAACTGTCCCAGCGATTCTTGTCTCCATTTGAAACTACGAATGGCGATGGTTACAGCAATCATCCATGCAGGGCACATGACAAATGATCAGCCAAGAAAGCCGAGCATCCATAACGTGTATGTCAACTTTTCTATAAATTCGACAGTTTCCGTCCACTTTAAATGCAAAGCCATGATGCATTAGTAGTACAATATCTGTGTAATCTGTCACTTCTGATTGACTTCTGAAATCAATTGAAGCTGTTGTATTCCTAGCTCGACAAATCTGACTTTACCCCTAACTCGGACGCGATATGGCTTATCGGCAATTAATCCCATCCGTAGGGTCATATTTGTCGTGCTATTGGTTTCCATGATTTTTAATGTCCTATTATCTGTTTTAGAATGAGAGTATATTATTGTACAACTGGTGGCCACAATTCACAGAATGTTTTCAGACTACGGTGCTGGTTTATGTACCATGTGGGTTTGTTTGGTTGGTATTACCGTTCTACCTCCCCTACTTGATTTATCTCCCGGGGAAACCGTTGCCGATATCCAGAGTACATTGCGTGAAGATGGTAAGAAAGTTTCATAAACTATTTTAATTGTTATCAAAGACAACTGATATTGAAAGAAACAAAACAAAAACAATTACGAAATTTTCTCGATTTGACGCATCACAAGCATGCAGTCGTTACAAAGTTTTTCTAGTACAGATTACATTCATGTCGTCGGCGAATAACGCTTTCATACGTTTCTCTGTTACGTTTTATGTCAGTTTTTACGTTTTGAAACCAACGTGGTCAAATGTATAGATATAGGCAAAAGAAACTAATAATTCTGAAAATAATTATACTGGTTTGATTTAATTTAAGATATTATGTTATGTGTTGGTAATGGTATGTGTAGGGTTTGTATTCGGTGAAATAGTAGAAACATTGTACCAACCAAAGCAGTACAGCAACGCTCATTACTTCGCCAAGGCTGTTGAAGGTCTCACTTTCGTAAGCATATTTTCAAATTGAAATAAGTTCAACACACAATGCTTAGTGGAGCAAAGACATTTAGTCACATCCACGTCTGATTTTCAATATACACACGAGTTTAGGCACATCAACACAATGTAAAATTGATCAGTAGAGTTTCCATTACGATTTATTGAAATACAGCTTATGGAATTTTGACCAATCCAGACTGCTGATGGTAGAGGTGAACGATGCTTACATTTTAGAACACACGATGCATCTCTCAAATTAAGATGTCCAGTGTGGTTCGGCTATGAAGACGGACAACTCCATACAGTGTCGTGAGGGAAATTTTGCCAGGACAGCGACATAAGCATATAATTTTTCGATTTCCGACTGTCGAGGGATCTTAAACGTGCGCAGCCTGTAGTATACGGGGATTGTTCTCCAATCCGAACGCTTTTCCATGTCAGCCCCTCACTGACAGGGGCAAACTTAATTCATTATGTTAGCATCGTGTTTAGTTCTCAGTAGTATTAACAACCTTATGTGTTTTGTCGTACTTATCGCTAAATGGTTTGAAGTCGTTTCCTGTCGTTTGCCGGCTCGGTTCCTGGTCGTTTCAAGTTGGTCGTTGGTCGTTTCCTCGTCGTTTCATGTCGGTTCGTTTTAGTAAGTACGGTGTTCTGTTTCTCTTTACAGATGCTGATTTCACTGTTGATGTTCTTAGAACGTGGACGTGGATTAATAACTTCCGGTGTAGTTTTCATTTTCTGGTTTTTACTCTCTGTAGCTGGAATTATTCCCCTCTACACGTATCTCATATTAAAAGTTAGTCAAAAACCAATTTACTTACATATTCATTTTCAAGTTTTTCTATATAGCGTAATATATACAAGAAGGAAAATACTGTAACGAAGTAATGGAAGTTCTAATGGTAGAAATCTCTCGACCACCTCGAAAATGAGCCCAGAGCCAACATTGAACTTCATGCGTTTTATGAATTGGCTACGTTTATATAGAACAGCAAATACAATTCTCATTCCGCTTCAGTCTTCCAGTACTTGCTTAAATGTAAAATGTTTTTAATTTGGGGTCCTTTTATTTCAGACGTATAACGAAGGGCCTGTCAGATTCTCGGGGTATATTTTATATTACACCTTGGTCTTAACTCAACTCATACTCAACTGTTTCGCTGAGAAAAGAACTGTCAATTCCACAGAGTATCGAGACACAACCTGGGTAAGTAAATACTTTCGATTTACTAGAATAGATGCAGAAAACCCCAAACCATACCTATTCTAATAATGAATTATGGAGTGTTTGTTTCATAGCTGATAGATATGACATTAACTTAGTCAAAGTGTCTCTTTTTTTCTTCACAAATAATGATATATGGAGATTGATCAGTAAGATTAAATTATAATTACACTGTCAAAATAGTGCTCAATACATCAATTGTAGAATGAAAAGGAAATGAAAAGAAATGGTTTTACGCTTTACTTTTCTGCACCATGTGGGCTAATGAAGATGGGCAACTCCATGCAATGAACAATGAGGGATTTTGCCAGGACAGCGACATTCGCCTTCTCTTTTTCAATATCCAACTGTCGAGTGATCGTGGCGGAACCAGGTTTAACCAAGTTATGATGTTTTTGGGAGACGGGCGGGGGACTCTCCGTGTGCCCGTGCCAGTCTTTAAAACTAAAGACAAGAAGCTAATCGGCGACAAAAATCTCCGACCAAGACCGCTTGTGTGCCCGCACCTTTAAAGAGCAAAAGGCTGATGAGGCACGAGACAAGACCTGATCAACATTCTAAATCATTTGAATCCACTCTAAAGGAAGCCACAGTGTCATAGTGAGTTAGATGCATGCTGAAGGTCCAGGGTTCAATCCCGGTGTAGACCGAGATAATACCTTCGGATTTTTCAACCCGGATTCCCCCTGTCAGTGATGCAGGTAAGAGGGGTTGACGTGGGAAAAGCGTTCGGATGGGACAATAAACCGTGTGCTACAGACTGTGCGTGTTAAAGATCCCCCGACAATTGGAAATCGAAAAAGAGCCGGCTAATGCCCCTATCCTGGAAACATTTTCCTCATTGCACCTTGCACGGCGTTGCCCGTCTTCATTAACCCAAATGGTGGAGAAAATAGGACGTACAACTCCATTCATTTCATTTGAATCCATTCTGCTACTGGACATTCTATTAGAGTTCAAATTGCTATATATCACATGTTTTTCGTCTTGTTTTAGAGACAGTGTCCAGAATACAAGGCATCTTTCTCATCACGGCTGACCTTCTGGTGGATGACCAGGTAATTCCATAATTTAGCCTTGTCTAATGATCTTTGGGAGTACTAATTCTAAAACCTAAGGTGTTTAGTTGCAGTAATGGAATCGGTTGTCAGAATTTTGTCAGGAGGGCGGGGGGCTGCAATACCAGCCTGAATCTAGGGGCTGTTTCACAAAAACTAAATTAAGATCTTAAAATATCCGATTAGTAACACGTAATTTGAAATCGATGTTAGTGATTGGCCAATCATAAGAATGCCACAGTTAACTCGTCTTCATTTAAGTTTTTGGGAAACATGACCCAGGATCATATTGGTACCTGTCTTTAAGACATAGCAAGATGAGATTTCCTTATCTCTCAATATGACATTTATTACGTGTAATTGTAGTTCCTTCGATAGGTAAGAAAAATATCTTTATTTTACCCTTCTATTGATCTTTTTGTTTTTCTTCAGCTTAATCTATAAAGGTTTCAAGGCACCATTAAACGACCATGATCTATTCGACCTACATCCTAGAGATGATAGTAAACGGGTAGCAAATGAATTCGCTGTTGAGTGGAGGAAAGAGCTGGAAAAATACAAACAACGCAGGTAGGTTAGCTTCATACGAAACAAGGCGCATTGGTGAACAGTTGTTCAACAGGTTTTGCGTCTCTGTTGGAAATTCTCCAAAGTATCTGATACGTCGAACAATTCCAATAATTGTTAGTTATGTTATCCTTCTGAGACGAAATGCTGCTTTGACAAACTCAGTGCTGAGGTGCACAGTTGATTCATTTTCAGCGATGGCCTGAAGAGCAAAACATATTGTCCTTCGTGCGGTAATTCAATACGTAAACCCTTTCAGATTTACGAAACATATAAACAGCAAAAAGAAAAAATCGCTTTCTGACCAAGAAAGAATTCCCTTGGTAGATGGAAAGGAATCTCAGAAGAAAACAAAGAAAGCTTCCCTTGGACGAGTAATGTTAAAACTATATTGGAAGGACATGGCTGAATCATACTGTCTAAAGTTCATTTCCGATATTCTGGTTTTTGCTGGACCCATTTTACTAAGGTAATGTTGCTTTAATAGGGAATAAATAAAGTCCATTTTGGTTATGGGGCTCTATATAAACGGGTTCGCAAATATTCACAAAATATCATTCGGCAGTTTATTACAAAAAATTACTTCGAGAAATTTTTTCTATTTCTCTTGCGTGATCTTTGACTTGATAGGACTGCCATATACTGGTCAGCAACCGAATGCAAATCACATGCTAATCAGCTGTTGTGGTCTAACTTGTTATATCAGTTGTGTTGTCATATTTTCAGTGTTTTGATCAATTTGATAGATGGTGAAGCTCCGAATGGTTGGATGGGCTATGTTCTAGCACTGGGATTATTTTGTTTACCATGGATACAGTCAGTCTTCTACCATCAGATGTACCACATGGCCATGACCTTGGGTATGAGGGTCAAGGCCGCTTTGATGGCAGTTATATATCAGAAGGTATGGGTTATCTATCTGTCTATCAATTTAGCACTATATCATATGTATGCCAGGATGTCAGTGCCAGGAAGTATATAAAAAGCGGTACACTTTAGACCGACTTTTGAAAAATTGTAATCAATCATAAGCGTTTACCCGAACCGTTACCACACACTAATGGCATTTTAATCCGATGAAAATTTATTTCTTTTTTGCATTTTACAGGCCTTAAAATTGAATAACGAAGCTCAGAGTAAATTTACAGTAGGAGAGATAGTGAACCTTATGGCAGTAGATTGTCAGAGAATTCAAGATGCTGCCTGTTACACCTTCTACGTTTGGTCCATACCATTTCAAGTAGCAATAGCCGTATATCTATTGTGGAGTACCATGGGTCCCTCTAGTCTAGCAGGACTTGTTGTTCTTATATTACTAGTGCCAGTAAACGCCATAGTGGCCACAAAACAATTCAAATACCAAAAGGAGAATCTTCAATATAAAGACAAAAGAATCAAATTGACGAGTGAAGTTCTTGAAGGAATTAAGGTAAATATTTATGATTGCCAGTATCCGCGTTTTAAGTCAAATATGAAAGCTATGATCAAAAAGATTTTCCTGCTACCGTACGTTTAAAATACATTCATTAGGCTATTATTTGCTGATTTTGTACCTGAATAGTTGCTAAAACCTTTGCAAATTTTACATTTCCCAACTTTTGTATAGACTCTACAATACGGACATCTGAAAATTGAAAAGAAACTCTACATTGAAAGATAGGTACATTCAGATTAGCGTATTTGTATGTCATTGACAGCTACATACGATACTATGTATGTATGGTTCTTACATAGAAATAACACCATGTAAAAACCAAGCGTAGTTTCGTATGTGACAGCAAAAGATTTTACCTCTGAATAATATATTTATGATGTGATTTTAGGTCTTAAAATTGTACGCTTGGGAATGTGTGTTTAAACAAAAGATTTTAGAAATGAGAAAACAAGAACTGTCTATTCTGAAGAAAATAGCCAATCTCAACACGCTCAGCACTTTTGTATGGACATGTGCTCCGTACTTGGTAGGTTATATTATTCTGTAATCTTATGCTAATGTTTATAAGATATAATTATATTCAATACAGTCACATCCAATTGTGTAAAATATTAGTTACTGTGGCTCTTCGCTGTTCCCTTATCAAAAGGGTAAACTATACATCTGTAAAAATCACGAGTCAAATATTGTTGCATTGAATATTATATTTCTTAAAAATTTCTTTCAGGTGACACTAGCTACATTTACATGTTATGTTTTAACCTCATCAACCGGTCATCTAGATGCTCAGAAAGCTTTTGTTACTCTATCTTTATTCAATATTCTACAATTTCCAATCAACTTTATACCTGAAACCATTTCATACCTCTCACAGGTAGGCATCCCGATATTATTTATCTGAAAAATTGATCCGCTGTAAACTCCGGAATCATAGTTGGTTGGCTACATTTGAATTTGAGGCCCATTTCAATAAGTATCGTGAGTAAATAAGTAAGTGTCGTTATCGTGCGCGCTTAGAGAATGCGTTATAACCTGGCACACGTTTTTAGTGTAAGAAAATTGGTTTTGTGGATCAGCAATGAAATGATGAATATTAAAGTTGCTGAGAAAACCAAAATGCAAAGTCTGACCACAGATTACAAGTATATGCTAGTACATTTATTTTGCAGGCTGCAGCATCAGTTCAACGAATTGAAATATTTTTGAGAGAAGAGGAACTGAGTCGTTCGAATGTTGATAAGAATGATTTTATGGGTAGGTGGTTAAAATGTCTGAATGGGTTCTAACATGGGTTACCAGAATTTGGTATCTTCCTGTCCCCTCGCATTTTGTCTGATTGATTTGCAGATTATTATCAGTAATTCTATCAATTCCCCCGAACTATACAAATACAAACACCCATTTAAAACACTTGAATACGGCTACAAAGTTATTCGTTGTGACAGTGGCTCCACGGCTACAAAGCTATTCGTTGTGACAGTGGCGGAGCGAAAGGTGGGGGGGGGCAGAGAGGGCAGCCGCCCACTTCGCAACCCCGAAAGCAACTTTTTCGGGCAAAAATCTCATAACTAGGTTAGAAATTCGAGAAATCCCAGATATTTCGCCCCCTTTCGGAGGCAAACCTGGACCCGCCACTGCGTCATGATAGATATTTAAGTACCAAGCCGTCTACTTAGTAGCGCTTCTATGGGAAGTGGCAATGGCCCGGTTTTGCCCCAACGAGTTCTATATCATTTTAGATAGGGGAGGAAAAGCCTCGAAACACCTTCCCACGTAACCATATTCATAGACACACCAATGCCTCTTCTTACAGAAAGAGCAATCAAAGTTGATCGAGGTGTATTTGCATGGAATAAATCATCAAGACCTGTTTTACATCGGTAGGTATTTTTAGCTATCCTTTTGCTAACATTTGCGTGCATAATCTCAATACGTTTGTAATAGTTCACCTATACAGATGTTTAGGAATAAAGAGTACCTTTTAGTTAACCTAAATAATTTACTATTGTAAATATTCTGCTTTGAGATTGTGTAAAATATTTCACAACAACAATTTTTCTGGAATGATGTGTCTGGTTTTCTTATAATTTTGGCTTGGAATAATATTTTTTATCGGGTAATCCCATGCGTGTTTTTAAATACCAAATCCCCCTTAAATCACCCCTTAATTATATAAGTTTGTCAATTTTTTGGATAAACCTTTCTGTTTTTCTTTCAATAATAGTCTGAAATATTCCCATATGTTATTGTTTCTACTGATTTCTGTACCTGTTTAGTATTAATATAGATATAAGCGAAGGGGAACTGGTAGCAGTTATTGGAACAGTCGGTTCTGGCAAGTCATCATTACTATCAGCTTTCCTTGGTGAGATGGAAAGATTGGCTGGGAAGGTTGCAACTAAGGTAAGGTAAATATGCTGACACCAATTCCATCTCTGCGCGTCTTTAAACAGACTCGAAACGAGGCGTTAAATTCGCCATGTTATTATATAATCCCATTAGAAATATTAAAACAGAACCTAGAATTTTAAAACATGTTGTTACTCGGAGTATCACGCTGAACCTCAGCAGAAACACAAGCTGAAATAGGTCAGTTGTTTGAACAAGTTTTAGATTCTTAAATTTCAATGTCTTTCTTCAATTGATTTATTGAGCACTATTTTAATAGTGAACATGTTTTGTTATTGTAATAATCGCATTATACAGACACAAGTCATATGATATTTTGATTGACCAAACAGTGAGTCAAATAGTTGATCGTCTCCTCTTGACAGCTCCCTTGGACCTAGCTAGCTACAATCCTGATAAAAATATTGGGGCATACCAAAGCGAGAGTGTATAATTTTCAACAAATATCCCCTGTCATATAATATGTAACTGGGACGCTCTAGAATGGTTCACATCAGGTCTACGTGATATTTCAAAATAAACGTACTTAAACGTACTACAAAACACACACTGATTTGGCAAAATATTGCAGGGAAGAGTAGCCTATGTTTCTCAGCAAGCCTGGATACAGAACAATACTGCAAGAAACAATATACTGTTTGGTGCCGAGATGAACAAAAAACAGTATAAACGAGTGCTTAAAGCGTGTGCTTTGAAAGAAGATCTGCAGATTTTACCAGGTGGTGAATTTACTGAGATAGGTGAAAAGGTAAGTATCGAAATTTTCGGAAATCGCTTTTCTGATTAGATGAATTCGCAGTATTATGTATCAGGCGCTGTACCCTCGAGAGACTATTCGGAGAAAAGTTAATCAAAGGGATATAAATATCGACAGTTAAAGGGCATCAATAAAAAAACAGATGGTCTCGATGTTTTTGAAACTTATATTCTGCGAGTTCCAAGCTCTCAACATTTACCTTTCTTGTACTATAATTACTGCTGACCTTGCCAGAGAGTACAACTAGATATTAATTGCGTCTATATATCACGAGTTGTCATTTTAACATTCAAATGCGGTTCATTCTGTACACACATGGATATAAGGCTCAAATTTCGACGATGAGCTGTGAACACTATTAAAGTAAAGTATTATCGATCAGAAAAATGCCGCCTCTGTAGTTTTAATATCTTCTCAAGAAGAATGTAAATGGTCGGTTACTAATGCTATAACTGATGTTGGACTGACTTCTCAGTTTCATGGTACAGATATCATATTCAGCTCATATCTCATCTTATGTTACATCTTTCTGTTGTAGGGGGTGAATTTAAGCGGTGGTCAGAAACAACGAGTAAATCTAGCGAGGGCAGTCTACAGTGATTCTGATATTTACCTTCTAGATGATCCTCTCAGTGCTGTGGATTCACATGTTGGTAAACATATCTTTAAACGGGTTATCAGTGATAATGGTATACTGAAACACAAAGTAAGCGGAATGTTTATGTTTTTCAGATTTATCTGCGTATCTCGAACAACTATATACCCCAATAATGTACATGTATTTGTTTCACTCCTGACCAATCTCGTCTGTAGTCTAACCTATTCTAAAGGATAATGTTAATATCGAACTGCAAACCTCGATGTTCCTTGGCCCAACATCCATAGCAGATTTTACGGTGTTTCACCTTGTTCGTTCAATACAATGGTATGCCGACCTCGCCATAACTTGTATCTTAAAGCATTTTCCTTTCTTGCTTTGTTAATATTACTCTCATAATGGAATCATTACAGACTCGAGTATTGGTGACTCATGCCGTTCACTGGCTACCTCTGGTAGATACAGTTGTATTGATGGATAACGGAAGGATAATAGATTGTGGACACTATCTCAAACTCATGAGAAATAACGGAGCTCTCGCTGAATTCCTTCATACACATATGTCTAAGAGTGACAAAGCGCAGGAGGCTACCGAAGATGCAGAAGGTAAGCTGATAGTTTCCAGAACAATCAAAAGAAATACTATTTTAATAGTTGTTAAATTCGGTTGGTGTCCATTTGGTCAATATGTATCGACAACCTTCGATATTACAAATTGATATACAGTTGGTTAACGTCCTACAAGATATTTCATATTATAATATATAAGATATTTTATCAAAAATCCAAAACACGGCTCATAATGGGGATCTTCCTTAGGGTCTTCATCTGCAAGTTCCGATAAGGTATTACACTTTTATTGGCTATTTGGAATGCTCTTGGTTCTCTAAGAAATTTTTTCCTTTCACAGTAAAGGAGTTGAGAAATAAGATATGGGAACATGTAGAATCTGTGACCAGTCCATCGGAAGGTGGTACCACAAGTGATGACGATATTCTCAAGCAAAAAAGGTAACCATCCTCATTTTTCTTTTTAGCCTCTGGGGGTTGAGGTATTGTTGGCGAATCTCTGAGACTTCATATAGCCTGACATGTACTTTTTTTAAAACGCTGTGTACAATAAACTCATAAGAAAATCTGCTTATAAATAAAACAAAAACACATCAATAATATGGATCTTATTGTTCCAGAATATGGACAAAAATGTCGGATAGTGACAAAGAAAGTTCACTGGATTCCAAAAAGAAGTCGGATTTCAGAAGTCGCTTGGGTCATTTGATTTCTGAAGAGAATGCTGAAACTGGGAAGGTATGCTGAAATTCATTTGGACAGATATACATGTATCACTAACAAAGGTTTCTAGCCTTGGTATATGCTTGTGGGGTACCCACAGATTCAATTTGCAACATCCCGACGATCACTGGCTTGAATAACATTTTTTAGTGGAGACTTCGTAATCTGGTTAAGTAAATTTCATGTTTTACACGAACGAAAAAGAACGAACGGGAAATTTCAATGATCCCAAATAAGGTATGTGTCTCTTCTACATATATGAGACCAGGAAAGTCGCAAATGACAGATGAGCCCCAGTCTGTGTCGGTCCCGTTGACGCCTCAAATGAAAATTCATTAATTAATTATGTTCATTAAAATATGATGTTATTTGATATCGCCGACGATTTCTCCCATCAATTAATCTTTCCTTAGTTGTTTTATTGTAACACATTTTGAATTGAATCAGTGCTAAAGATCGTCGTTGCTTTAAATTCCAGGTTGAATTTTCTGTATTTTCAACATATGCTAAAGCAGTGGGTGTCTTCTCAACGATCTTCATATTTGTGTCCTACACCATCTACCAGGTCGGCAGTGTGGCAGCTAATATTTGGCTGTCAGTCTGGACAGAAGATTCACAGCTGAAAAACACCAGTGAATCTCAATCCAAAGAATATATCAAAACCAATCATGGATATTTGGCTATTTATGGAGTTTTTGGTCTCGTTCAAGGTAAAATGGGTTTCAAAATTAAACGCGGATCAAGTGATAAAACCAAAGGCACTAAAACTAAAAAGTATTGGCTTGGACTATGAATGCAGAAAACCGACCTACATTTTACACACATTTTTGGGCTTTCTATAATTCTGATTAATATCAACAATTAGAAACCCTTGACGTCCAATACCTGACATATTTACAGAGTATAACTGAAGTCTTATAATATAGAATATCTTTTATTAGAAGGCTAAATACGAGATAAATTGTAATGGTTTCTGTGCTTTTTCAGCGGTATTTATCCTGCTATACGCTGGGCTATCCACTACCAAAATGGTCAAAGCTGCCAAAACGATGCATTTTAACATGTTAGACAAGATTATCAGGGCACCTATGATATTTTTCGAGACCACACCAATTGGTAGAATTATCAACAGGTTCTCTCGAGATGTAGAAACAATTGATAACAACTTACCTCAGATATTCTCAATGTGGATTGTAACTATATATTCCGTGGCCAGTACCTTTGTGGTTATCAGTGTAGCCACGCCTCTATTTCTGATGGTGATAGTTCCGTTGATTCTCATGTATAGTTTCATACAGGTAGGAGCAATTTTACTTCTTTAATCTTTGACCAAAATATTCGATTGACAAATGGTTTATTGGCTGCTTAACGATTAAACACCATGGACTAGACCACTACTTTTGTTTTTTGATGGTTGGAAATATTTACCGATGGTTGACAGCCAGGATAATTTAATTATATGGTTACTTCGTTGGTTATAGTTAATTGACGTATAAAACCTTTTCATTTGTAAAGCATCAAATACAAATACTTGTTTCGGACACGTTATGTCACGTTATGTGATTTTCTCCCTCACAAATTATTTTACAGAGGTATTTCGTGCCGACGTCCCGCCAACTGAAACGTTTGGAGTCTGTGTCAAGGTCACCAATATATTCTCACTTTGGAGAGAGTATACAAGGGGCGACAACTATAAGAGCGTATGAAGCTACTTACCGATTTACTGAGCAATCTCGAAAACTCATAGATAAAAATCAAGTATATTATTTTGCTGGTATATCTGCCAACAGGTAAGATTAACAATATTTTTTTAATTAGCTGATGGTATTACACAAGTTTTATTTCTGTAAAGCCCTAATCGCGTGTAGTGTCTCTAAATCTAATATCCAAAAAATGGAAAGTGGTTTAAGTCTGTCTTGATATTTTTAGATTAAGTTTGTATGATTAGAGATCAGAACTCATTAGATATATCATTTGCAAAGTCCACTATCAACGCGATACAAAAGCAATTTCGTATAGGAACAATGGCAATATTATCAATGCTGTCTATGTCATGTGGCTTTTTATGTCTTATGTTTTCCCTAACACATGCGTTTTATGTTGGTCATTTCTTACTTTCCACATATCTAGTAATTGCATTTTGATTTAATTCATTCAAGATGGTTAGGGATTTGGATAGAGTTTGTGAGCAGCTGTGTTGTATTTACTGCTGCCCTTTTCTCACTGCTATCACCAGATATTACTGGCGCATCCATGGGGTTATCTGTTACGTACGCTTTACAAGTAGGTGTATCTTTAACCTTAGTGTTGTAAACTCGAGAGTGCTCTGTTCTGTCCATTCCATTAAGTATAGCATGGTTGCGTTTAAGTCACTGTACTCAGACACAAAACGTAAAATGTACCACTTTGTGGAAATGAGAAGGACGTTTAATTTAATTTGTTTCATTAACATAGAACTGTTTTTATACTCCATTTACCCAGTGCGGTGTCGTAACACTAAAATCATCTTTAATAGTCACCATCGTGAGGCGTAAAACTTTAAATTTCATTAGCACAATAGCTTACTTCGGAACCAAAGAAATAGGGTGTAAAATTATTCTCATTTTACTTTTTCTTTCATAGAAAGAATCTGGGTTATGTTTATATATCGTATCTACTGTACACTGTATTGTTCTATAAAATGAATTGTTCTATTTACAGATTACTGCAGCATTAAAGTGGTTAGTTAGAACTATCAGTGATCTCGAGACTAATATAGTGTCTGTTGAGCGGGTAAAAGAATATACTGATATTACAACAGAGGTATGTATTCATTCAAATACAGTGATTTGGTTGGATTGTACGCTATCGAATACAACCATCAGAGCTCTCGACAGAAAAACTATACATGATTTAGCCGAGTGGTAGCTGAGTGATAGGTTATATTCACTAGGGTACTATCCAATCAAATCGCTGCATTCTGTAATACAAGAATATTGGCCTAATGCAGTCAAATTATTTGACGCAGTTTGTAATAGCTTGACATTATGAAGATGGACTGACAAGCGCTTTTCCTATGCTGTTGACAAGTTCACTGCAGATACTAAAAGGTCTGATTAGGACAGATTGTTTGGACCTAGACTTATAAGCGTACGAACGACCAGACGAATTGACACAGCGGTATCGTTTATTAAGTGTGGCAAATATACAAAACAAATATTCAAGGGATGAGCTTGTATTATACATTTTCAAACATTCTATTTTACAATTCCCTGAGATTATTTTGATATCTCCTACACATCTAGATCAACTGATCACCGTGGGATAATACTGGTTGATATGATGTATCAGGTTTCATATTAACATGATCATTATTATACGAAAAGTGTGCTCATATAAACTTGTGTCATAAGAAAGAAAGAAGAAAAGTTCATTAGCTGCGACCAATGTTTTGCCAATATGTTGTTTTTGATTTCGGGTTCCCTTTAAACTACAAAAGAGCTATGCCTGTTACTAACAGTTACTACTCAAACAAGATATAATTCGAGATAACATTGCTATTCCGGTTGAACCTTGTATCGATTTGGCTTTGGTTCAGTCATAATAAGAAAAAGATATATATACGGTGCAAAATCAGAGCAATTTACAATGAGAGGTATTTCAGGTATTGTTAATCTGTAGCAGATGTCTATCTTTAGAAATGAATACATCACAACAGCATCAAAATCAATGTACACGGTAGTTGCCCCTGTCCTCGATCACAAACACAGAAAACACATCCAATTACTAAAACAACACGACGTAACAATTACATTTACCATTGTGTTTATCAACGACAGTAAATTGTATCAGGCAGCTGCCACCTCCTACTTTCTGAAAATTAAAGCTTTTGCATCATGTTATTCTCAGCTTCAAGAGGCATATACCCTCACCTGAATAACTGCCTCCTCCATAACTGATTAACTGTCCTGATCACATCCTATTTCTCATGCCGTAGGATACTGTGAACACCCGGTATAAAGTGCTGTATCTCGATCAAAATACCAACATCAAACACCATCATTAAAGAGATCTGATCCGACATACCTAGCAAGAGCAGTTATACCAACAGTTCCATCTGAACCTCTTCTTGAAACTCCACATATCATTGTCTTTCAGTTCATTATTGCTATCATATAGGTACCATTTCCAGATATGAACGCCTACATGTCTGAAACCACATACCAATCTAATGAAACCTTTATAGCTGATTCTAACATTAATTAATTATACAGTTCAGAATTTATTAATTGAATTTGTTGACTGTATCGTATTTTTGCGACTAAATATAATTGCATATACATGTAGTATATATCTAATAATATGCTCCAATGATCTATCCAAGTCATGCAGCTTATGCCATTAACTTAAAGAGATTGTAAATAGCTTCCTAAACTTTGTTGACCTCATTGGTATAATCAGCAAGACTTGCAGATAGGCTATACTCAGACTTTTTTTGAACATTTACGAACTTATTAGAAACTTCGTTAATAGAGTAGTAGTAGCAACTTAGAAATCCCTAATTCCATCATTCCATCGGGCCACAGGAACGGGTTGGAGTTATTGCCACCTTTGACACTGACTGGGCTAATTGTCAACTTGGCATAAGAAGACCGAATTCTGACCATCAGATTTAGGCCGTACCTGTTCTCAATGCGGCGATTTGGGAACACAACATGGGTTCCAGTTAAAGCAGTAGGCTATCTTCATTCAAATAAATACTTTGGTCGATATAATAAATATAAACTATAGAATTAATATAAACAAAAACCGGGTGGTTCACATTATTTGAACAGAGTTTACATTTACTTCCAGGCACCTCTGATAAATAGACACAACCGTCCATGTTTGACTTGGCCTGACGCAGGTCACATCCAGTTTCAACTTTACAGTACCAGATACAGACCGGAACTAGATCTGGTTTTAAGGGCGATAACTTTTGAAGTCAAACCGGGTGAAAAGGTATGCATTGGGCTATAAAAACAACTTTTCCAAGAAAAGCATACATTAAAATGCTAAAATTTCTAATCTGAAAATTTGAAATAGACAAACATTTTCCAAATGTGTACTGAACCACATATTCTTAGTAAAACGTAGTAAAAATACATCATGCGAGGCGTTAGTAATCCTGTGACAAAGCTTCGACATATCCGTCATGCCATCATGCCAATTTATGATTGCTACCAAGGAAAAGAACAGTTATGTTGTTATTCATTGAAAGCATACCGACAGTTAATTTCAATGTATTCGACCTAATTTATGTATCATATAGAAGATTTTATTCTTTTTTCCAGATTGGTGTAGTCGGTAGAACAGGCGCTGGTAAATCCTCGTTGATACTAGCTTTATTTCGATTGGTCGAGGGTGTAGCAGGGACAATAACTTTAGATGGTAAAAATATAGAAGATATTGGCTTACATGACCTCAGATCTAAAATTACCATTTTACCTCAGGTAATGTAATACTCTACAGGCGTTATAGACAGGTTGTAGAGGCTGTTGACACAAAGTCTGGCGAGATAATGTATCCTTTCTGGTAGATCTTCAAGATCACAACAATAATATCGACTGCCTACTAAGCCAGTGATTTTTATTTTTAGATATGAAAAGTATTGGGGAACAGGCTTTCGACTATAATAGCCCTCTCCTCATTAAGCCAGTGATACATCAAAGAGATATATCGAGGTGTAATACAGTCTTCAACGCTCTTATCTATTCGGTGGTGCATTACTGCCAGAATGGTGGGCGATAAACCATATTTGTAGCTAACTCGAGAGCAGCTCGTGCTCGCGTCTAACCTTAGCTTAGGTTTCCTTGCTTGTTTTCAATGGCACATTGTATTTTAAACTTTGATTTTATCAATTTGTTTCACCATTATAGGATCCAGTTTTATTTTCTGGGACATTAAGAACCAACCTAGACCCTTTCAATATAAATACAGATGAAGAGTTATGGACTGCCTTGGACTTGGCCCATCTTAAAGCGTATGTTAGTGGTTTAACTGAAGGTCTTGAATTTCAGTGTGGGGAAGGAGGACAAAATTTCAGGTAGGTTTATGATACCTGAAGAAATATTTGAGCTATGTGAACTCTCTAAATGAGTTGCACTACTGACCATGCCAACGGCACTAATCAGACTTTAACTTTGAGGACATTGGCAAATAATGAGGAGAAGAATGGAAAGGAAAGGCAAAGCTAGGGGATAATGAATGGAAAGAACCGGATTTATTGAGAAGTGGTGGGGGTATTTACAACCAGCCGTCTCCAGATACTGACCTGGGCTTATGATCATAATTCTGTCTATTCTGTTGATAGAGGACAGTCTACTGAAGCTACCTTTATCACGTTTTGACAAAAAACAATGACCTCCTGTTAGTCTGTTCTCCAATGAAAATAATTCGTTGAAACTAATTGTTTTTCAGTGTCGGTCAGAGACAGTTGGTTTGTCTAGCAAGGGCGCTACTGAGGAAGACCAGAGTCCTGGTTTTAGATGAGGCGACGGCAGCAGTAGATCTAAAAACAGATGTCTTAATACAAGAGACGATACGAACTGAATTTCAGCAATGTACTCTCATTACGGTTGCCCACAGAATCAATACCATCATGGATTACGACAGGTGCGTTAATCTATTAAACACAACTCTATAGAAATATCAAAACAGAATCTAAAACATGTTGTTATTCAGTGTTTCATTATGTTTCAGGTTCTGTTATATTTCTCTATCGCTCCATAATTGATGTATTGAGCACTATTTTAACAGTGGTATTTCTATATCGCTCTATAATTGATGTATTGAGCACTATTTTAACATCGCTCTACAGTTGATGTATTGAGCACAATTTTAACAGTGGTATTTCTATATCGCTCTATAATTGATGTATTAAGCACTATTTTAACATCGCTCTACAGTTGATGTATTGAGCACTATTTTAACAGTGGTATTTCTATATCGCTCTATAATTGATGTATTGAGCACTATTTTAACATCGCTCTACAGTTGATGTATTGAGTACTATTTGAACAGTGTAAATATGTTCTTATTGTATTTTACCCCGGTTACCCCTTGTCAATTGATGCACGTCTAGCAAATTGTCATGGAAATTAAAACCGACATACCATGTGCTACTAGCGGTGCATGTAAAAGATCCATGAGGGTTACAACTCAAGTCTTGCCTTGGCAAAAGAGCCCAACCCTGTATGGTGTTGCCCGTCTCCCTTACCCCACCTGGAAACGATATTGGAAACTTAGAAATCATGTCATTCCGTTTTCAACACATTTGTGATACTGAAGTTATCCGATTTTTTCTGCATTACAGGATTATGGTCCTTGACAAAGGAAAAATAGTGGAATTTGACAGCCCCTCCAACCTCCTTCTAGATCCCTCCACCCAGTTCTACAGCTTAGCAAGGGATTCCAATATTTAATAATCCACGCAGGACGCACATTGAAAGAAATCCAGACTTTTAAAATCAGGTGTTTTCCAATAAGGGCCTTGTATTTTTGTCGCAACCTGCTTGTGACGGAAGTGGGTTGTAGGTGGTGTTTCATACTTCCAAAATATCTTAAATAAGTTGTAAAGGGGCGCATTGTGAAATATAAGTGATTGGGTTGTGAGAACTCAAAAAAGCTTCACCAGCCTTAAAAACTATTTTGATGAGCCCCGTGTCTTGTAAATCAAGAGGAACCTGCTATATATCACTGAGACCTTCTATAAGTATATATCAACAATTACTCCCGAAAGCACGAGATTCGCCAGGACGGTCTGTATGTATGGTGCGGAATATAACGGAACCGATGAACGCCATTCATTGTACAATACAGAGAAATCGTCAGAATATCTACATGTAGATGTAGAACGATAAAGGTGTAATTAACATTCCCCATTTCAATGTTTTTTCATATTCTAATTCATTTATTATTCATAACCATTAATTATTATAAATAAATTATAGTTATTGTTGAAATTGTTAATTAGTTCCCAAGCAACATGATGATATTCGTCTGAGCGAAACTTAAGATGTAGTCCGAAACATGCCCTCCGACATTTATTCTTAAAGGGACGGATGAGGCATTTTGTGGGGGTTGATTTTATTCTTGAATATATGTTAATCTTCAGAATTACTAGAATTACTAGTTCTTAAATATACTTCAAACTAGGAATTTACCCACTATTTCTATATATCTCTTTTCTACCACAGAGTATCTTAAAATAACGAGCCGTCATTTTAACATTCAAACACAGATAATTCTGGACACACATTGATTTGAAGACTCATATTTCGACGGTTTATTGTGAACACTATTACTTAGCTTAGCTGAAAAAAATTCCGGTTTCTGAGACTAAAGGATAAATGGCCCACCTATCCCTTTAAATAACAACAACTAACTGAAGTAAGGGGTTCTGCACCTCGAAGGGTGTTCATTTCTTGGTACATTTCTCTTTGGACTCTCTCTCAGTGGAAATTAAATTTCAGCTTCTGCAGATAAGGTCAGAAGTTTCGGGCTACAAGGCCCTGTCTGTATTACTGCATGTGCTTTCAACAAAGCCCTGTGAGTAAAGTGAAGGAAGACATTGTGTTTCCCAGGTTCAGATAGTTCACATACATAAAGCTAATATTTTCATATGGTAGCCTGTATCCAAAACGAAGTATGATTATCCCTATGATTCTTAGTTATATATTCTGGTATGTTTTATTCTTTCATTGTTTCATCTGATGACGACACGTGTAAATTATGTTAAAACAACTTTATGTGTTTAATAAGTTTATTAAAGAAGTGTGCTTATTAATAATATTGTCTTGTGTTTGTGATATGTACTCCTCACTTCTGAATGTTGTTCAAGTCTTATATAAAACCAAATAATTTATCACAATCTATATTTCCATGCATCTATCATTTCAACATACTATTTTTAGGTAAAAACAAATTAACTAGTTCAAAGTAGGCTTATAACACAATATATTGTAATTTTTATAAATTCTATAGACAACAAAACATGAAACAATCTAGTATAGAGTATTTTTGTGACAATATACAACAATAAAAATCTGTACAAAATTATTTATATTCATGACAGACAGCTTAATCAGGTGACATTAGTATAAAAAATTTGACCATGGACCATGAAATTATATAACTTTCCATCTGTTATAGTAGCATTGTTCACGTGTGATGTAGAAATAGCAAAAAAAAGTCATCATTACCTGATAAAAATTCTGATATGATTACAGTTTTAAAAAGATATCTACACCAATGGAAAGAATGCTTTATATAAATTGCTTTGAGTATAAACTAAACCAATGAATTCCTATAAATATGAAAGGCCAACAGCAAGTTTAAATGTTTAAAACATGGTGGACGGATTCGAAATCAGCTTGGATTATGAAGCATTTCTGAATGATAGTTTCTTCCTTTTAGTCTATATGAGTATAAATGAGCATTACATGCACCGTATGTGTTTATTGAGAACCTTTTCAAAGAATACTAATTATTATTACTTCAACTTCATTACACCATCTCCTCTTCTTCCTACATAAATATACATAACTAGACAGTCAACATGGTAAATCTCATCTATATTGTCCGTATGCTATGCTATTGCTATGTTATTCTTCGGTTGGCTTGAGGAGTTCTGCGTCTCCTTGGTTGTGGACTACTTTTCAAATCTTTAGTTGACATGCCTACAGTTTCCTCCCATATTGGTAATAATCCTTTCACCATGGACCAGTAGTTATTCTAAAACAAGATAATAATAATAATAATATTTATTGTTTAAAGACCATTACACATAAATTTCAACAAACAAATAGAATACAATAAGATAAAATGAGTTATATGTAGTGCCTCTCTGTATCTGATTGGGCTAAAGAAGACAGACAACACCAAGCAGTTTGCAATGAGGGAATCATTTCTAGGACAGCAGCATTAAACTACTCTTTTTTCATTTCATGTAACCTACCTTTAGTGTAATGAATCTTGATGTATCTACTTTATTTATATCTTGATCTATTTTATCTTCTAAACACTCTATATCCTGTTTTAATATTAATAAAGTTAATTGAATAATAATATTATATTATTACGCAATTAACTTACTTGTAATAATATGAAATAAATGGAGTTTTTGTCTGCAAATTGTACTTATAATTTCGATTCCATAGAGCTCCAAGTAAACATCACTATTAACATCTCAAAGCTTCAGGCAGACAAGACTGGTAAATTCAACCAAATTAACATCCTAGAGCTCTCATTAGACATGACTGACAAATATAGCACACTTAGAGATCCAGGCAGACTGGTAAATACAACCAAGTTTACATACTAGAGCTCCTGGGAAACATGACTGATATATATAGCCTTATTAACATACTAGAGTTCCTGGCAAACATGACTGATATATATAGCCCAATATACATCCTAAAGTTCCTGGCAAACATGACTGATATAAATAGTCCCATTATCATGTTAGAGCTCCTGGCAAACATGACTGGTATATATAGCCCAATTAACATACTGGAGCTCCTTGCATAATGACTGATATGTATAGCCCAATTAACATACTAGAGCTCCTGGTAAACGGCACGTACCAGACATATCCAGAAATATAACAAAATGAATATTGTAATAACGCAATTATATGCAATAATAATGTATGATTACACAGTATAACACATATAAAGCTGAACTAACTCATCCACAGTGATCATTGCACAAGAGAAAGAGTTGACAAACCCAGTAAAAGTGTGGTATCAAGTGTAATAGGCACAGTACCTCTAATAAAGATCTGTTGCGTAATGTGGCATTATTAGTTATATCTGGTCTAAATGAAGATCCAGGTCCTAGCCTGGTAGATTGCTCTTGAAAGTAATTCTTAGTATTTTTCAACAGACTTTCTCTTTGTTCTAATCTGAAAAAGGAAGGCAGCATTAAAAAAATTATCTAATGTTTAAAGGATTTAAAAAAAGCCTTATAATATAGTGTATTAGGACACTTTAAGCTTTTGTTGTTAATATATATATTTCAGGACACATTTGATTACAGATCATGATGTCAATACTGCAAATACCATTTGAGTAAAATTAAACACAATTAGAATCTATATTAGATTGTTTTGAGTCTCAATACATAATTGTCAGAGTGCTTAATTAAAAACCTACAATATACAATATCGTCACTGGCTCCTATTTTAATAAACTTACAGTCACGACAATTCTTATTTCATAACCTAGCGCAGTGTTATTTATAGAGAATATCAGTTTGGTCTAAGAAACCAGTACCAGTACTTACAATTCCTCATGTAGAATATTTAGTTGTATTTCTCTTTCAATCCAGTTATCTATTTTTATATTACCAGTAGTTAGAACTGTATCATTGTCCATCTTATAATTTTATCATCACCTAGTACCTGTAAATATAATCCATTGTAGGTCTACAATACAATCAGTATATGATCATATCGTTAATATAAGTTCTTATGGTACGGTACTGAAGATAGATGTAGGCCTATAGCTCCATATATATACAAAAAGATACGTAGATTTTTGCCCATCCAATCCAATAGTAGGCTACCTATTATTATCAATGACAATTGAAGCACTGTACTAAGACTCATTAAGACGGAAACATCTGTCTATATTCCAGCCTCTGATACCTATTTGAACAGGATGTAGGCTCGTGTAAAGACAGAAAAAAAATGCTCTGTTAATTAAGGAAATTTCACATCTCCACAGGTGTAGAGGTTTTAAACCTATTAAAGATATCTAGGATCTGCAATACCTAAATATATTTGGAAAGATGTATGTTTTTGTAGTTCAGTCGTACCATCATTTTCTCCAACACTTAATTACGATCATCGTAAGGGTAATTTAATGTTATGTTATAAAAAATGCATCTTCAGAGGTGTGGAAAATCCCCACTTAACAGGGCCTTTCCTTCTGACTCTTTCAGCTGACAACACTGTCAAAATATTCACTAGAGGCTAGAATAGAGGCAGATGTTTCGGACTATAACTCATTTAGAGTCAATTCCATATTATTCTGTTGACTTCCACGCCAAGTCTTCTCCAAGAGAACAATAACACATCTACCAAGCTATTTTAAATATTATAAATCAAGATATACTCAACGAACCTGTAAATAATATCTCAGCATACAGGGCTATAAAAACAATATCAAATTTGTTGTTTAGGACGCTATACTATTTTTGTCTTTACACCTTGAAGATCGGATCAAAGGGAGCTTAATCTTTTTATTTAAAAAAAAAACTGCGGACTACACTGGATAATGGATTTCTCTGTGCCTTCGTTTATTGTCGAAATTTAAAATTTAATTCTATTTCTATTTCTATTTCTGATAGCCAATAACTGTTAAAATATCTATCAGGGGCTGGAATAGATACGGATGTTTCGATCTAGTCAAGATACAATGACACCGAATGTGACTGAATGGGATTAGTCATTAGATATTTGATTTACCAGCTGATAGAGATCATTAATCTAGAAAATTTTAGACTGCCATCGCTTCTACATGTTTGACATTCAGTTATAGAATTGTATTTCGGATTTCGGTTTGACTTTATTCAATTCTAAAATTGATTGTCGGATTTATTATGTGACGTGAGAGTATGACAAGAGAATCTTAGTGACAGGACAATACGAGATTCACCGAAGCGTTAAGTCAGATTACTCAAATCGGATTTCCTTTAAACAATGATAAACAAATATTTAGTATATCCTTTTCACTGTAGATATATTAACAAGGTATTATTGAGTCATTATTAACGCCTACTGTTCATCCGGAATAGTGAAGTCCGTTGTTCAGAGCTGAAATGACAAAACCACACCTGATATTACCTACACGAATTTCGGATATATAATCCAGGATAACTGGCTGGAAATGATGGGCAAATTATGATGCATGAGCTACGTAAGCAAGTTTTCTGACTAGGATAGGCCTACTTTCTTGAATTCTCTCAAGGGCACTGCTTGTAACATCCTGTATTGTCTTCAAATGTGCGTCACCAAATAGCCCTTTTCATTATACAGTACGATTTCTCCAGAGCTTGAAAACGTCATGACCCAAAATTTAACTGTTAGTCCAAGTTTGTCAGAAACAAACAACGTTTGCTGCATTAAAGTTATCAACAAAATTGAATAGAATTTTTATGCCTAACATTGCTGTCGTGTAATTAGCATAATCGTTGGCCTACTGTGAACGACGGGCAAGTTTGTAGATAACTGCCCAATGGCAATGAAAAAGATGAATTGCGCCCCCAACCCCCTGAAAAATTTTCGACAACCGACCAATTCCATTGCTTCAACTAAACACCATACACAATTGCCCCTCCAGATATAGGGACGACGGACCACTTTCAGATCCTGATGAAATGAAGTGATATATTGAAATGAATAGTAGTGTAATGATAATCCGGTGAGTTAATGAATGATCAATATCTGATTAGTAAGTAAATATTGATAGTCTATATCATATAAATAGTGGTCGACAAGACACGGTCAGGAACAGGTGGCCATTTACACTGTAACAGATATACATTACAATGGAGAACAATATGTAAGTATAGATATTTCACGGAAAGAGAATCTTAAGATAAATTTCGAAAATTCGAAAATTGGAATTTACTAAAAATAGATAAAACAGTTCTGAAACTTTTTCTCAATATTTTGAACTTTGAAAATTGGATGCTGAGATATCTGTTTCCATATGATTTTGAGCTTGGAAATTGAAAGTTACTAAAAAATATAGAATATAATAAGTAGCTAATTTCAGACAAGCTTTAAGACTTTCCTTAAAGTTAGAAAAAAAAGTTTTGAAAATTTGGAAATTGGAATTTACAAGAAAAATATAAAACAAAGTTCTTCTCAATATTTTTAACTATGAAAATTAGATTCTGTTAAAATAAAAGTAATATACAGAATTTTTTCCCAAGTTTTGAAACTTTTTCCAAGTGATCTAATAATCATAATAACTTTATTCCGGATCTCAAAATGAGACTTGAAAATTATACAAAAAATAATGTAACAATGACAAGGCAGAAAGTAAGGTTTAATATATATATATTAGTTAGCTTTAAAATGATTTACAGTAATAAAAACAAGTTAACCTAGATGTTTTCTTAAATGACTGAAAAGTACCTATAGGATACCGTGATGATTAGTCCAATTAAAATTAGATCAATCTTTCGTTCCGTTTTTTATAAGCTTGCTAAATTAGAAATAAAAGCTAATAAAAAACAAAACAAAAGTTTGGGCTAATTGCCGTCACCATATGGTGACACCGAAAATATTCTGATAATTTAGAGAGCACTTTGCAATATTATGAATGATATAAGAAAGGAGCCCTATGATGGGATACATTTATATATGAATTTCACAAGGGTACAATGAGAATTTTAATTTTTGAAAAATTGCAATATGTAACAACAAATATGAAAATAGAGAAAGCGATCCGGAGAATGGCATAAGATGTTCCAGATCAGAATGTAGACTTACCAGTATAAATTGCGATTGCGCCTGCTAATCTTCAACATTCACAGCTGAAGACGAGCTACTTGTCGTATTTAGCTTGACAGTGAACAGTGGTAATAGTCAAGGAAATGAATGGTCCTAATTAAGTATTTAGTTGAAGAGACCACAAATACAATAGCAGGATTAACAAAACCACAATATTAATGTCACAAAAGATTCGTTTTGTGGTTTCATATGTTTTCATTATATACCTTTTCAAACGCTTTAAGATTACGTTAAGACAATTTCGTGTGTTTCAATAATCCAAGGAAAATGTAAATTTAACTTGATACAATGTTGAGTTAATTGTAATATATTTTAAAGAAAGATAATTAGTAAATAAATAAAGGGTTTTGTTATATCTTAACGATAACGTATAATGGTCAAATTTTCTTTTACAAAGTCGTTTAAGAACAATATAAGAAATACAAGCGGGTCATTATGACGTCTTAATTTCACCCTTAAAATACAAAATTTATAAACTGATACAAACAAGATTGTCGTGGAATAAGGAAGATAAAACAAAGAAAGATTTTAATAGTGTTTAATAGAAATACAGTGGTAAGTTTAGGCTACAATTATGTGGAAATCATTCTGTCGCGAAATACAGGATGCGAAAGGTGTTCGAATTCAGCAATTTCTTCACTGGAGTTGCTGAATGTTTCATAATGTACATTATTTGATTTTGGGTAGTGAACGTCTGTCACTTTTAGTGTATTTTCGGTGTTGAATTGCATAAAGTGAGCATGTTCTTCCACAGGCTTTTCTTGTGAAATTAAAATAACACGAAAAATACTACTTTGTTGAGAACATCTATTTAGGATTCAAAAATGTATAATTTGAACAGAAAGAATATAACAATTGCCAATATTTCAGAGCCGAAAAATTTGTTGAAAAAAGAATCAATGTTTGTGAAATCATTTTGGAAGTAAAATGCGGAAGCAAAATGTTAATCACTATTGCATCTTTTTGCTACAGAAGATGGTTGGCGATTTTGTGTTTAATTGGAATAACCAGTGGTCAGAGTTCTATACCGTTTACACTGTGGAGCCACTGGCAAGGAGGTTTTGTCGGTGAAACATGTTTTACAGCTCCCGTGAATATGAAAGGCTGGATTGTCAGCATTACGTTTGATGTCGATGTTCAAAAACTTTCAGAGGTTTGTAAAATTATACAGATTAACTATGAAAATTCATTCACCTATTTATTCATTGATCCTTTCATTCATTCATTTATACATGTATTTATTCATTCATTAATACATGTATTTATTCATTCATTTACATAAGAAATCATTCATTCTTTTGTTCTTTCGTTCGTTCGTTCATTGATCCATTCCTTTACAATGGCAGTTTGTTTCTATCATTTCTTTCATTCAAGATGTTACTTGCATATTCTATGATTTACTATAAAAAATACATAGAGATTTGCATTACAAAATGCTTTTCAGACAAGTTTGATCTCGGGCTCAAACGACATCCCATTGTTAAGGTAAATGTTAATGATAATTCTATCGTGTATTGTACAGTATATTCTAATATTCTATAGATATGGAATAGTGAACTGGTAGAACAAGTCAATCAGAGACTGTTTATTATAAAAGATGTCTACTATAATAAAGAGTCTACTGTAGGAACTAGGGTCTGTCCCGGGTTTAAAGGACTGACCAATCATAACATCCGTACCACAGCTTCTATAGTCTTTATTCCCTTGTTTGATGACGGCAAAGGGGTCTTACCAGTCGACCCGACCACCTCCACTGCTCCTATTGATGCCACATTGGCTCCCCCAGTTGAGGACACCACAGCTCCACCGACTGAAGGAGTGATGCCCGATGATGAAACGACCACTGAAGCTGAAAATCCATCAGGTAAAGAAAACTTCAAGGCCTCTAATTGACGCAGAGGTTATGGCTCCCTTTCTCTATTGCACAAATGATCGTTGACCACTTATGGGCTTTTTAATGATCAAGCTGCCAATATCCTTGTTGTGATACTTTTAGAATTTAGAAGTGAGATAGGCATCGCTTCTGATCCGCAACAAATTACACGTGTTTCACTTTAAAACTTCGTGTAGAAACTGAAAAAATAAATATTCATGATGTCATGTAATTTACACACCGTTCAATCAACAGGATTCTACGTACGCTTTATTTTGTAAACATCATCACACGCATTAAACTTATAGGTACAGACAACCACTGCTGTATGAAAAAATCGGTTCCGTATATATATTTATAACTTGAATACTTCTATCACATATATAAACGATAAAATAGAGAATTAGAAGTATCATATAAGTACACCTGTAATTCCAGATGGTGAATATGACTATGAGGATGTGATCAGGATGTCGATATGGTTTTATGAAGCTCAGAGATCTGGTGAACTGCCAGCAGACAATAGGATACCATTCCGTGGAAATTCAGCACTTGATGATGAAGGGCATGAGGAAGAAGACCTTTCTGGAGGCTGGTATGACGGTAGGTATTTAGTTGGCTGAATATAATTCTACTCCTGCAATACATGACTGATCTGGGGTCAATCTGATTTCTTTTCCGGACTAAAAATCTTTATTGTTTCTAAGTTACATTATAATAAGTAACGTAACAATTGTCGCTAGCAAGGCAATAACGGACAATCGGCTGCCACTCTGCGACTGAGTTAGACAATATTGTATTTGAGATCAACTTTAAAAAGTAGTCTACTGCGGCGGTTGTCGCTAGCAAGACTCACCAAGCATACTTCTCCGGAACACCTGATGCCACTCTGCGACTTGGTGTATCCATTCGGCATACTTTTCGCAGAGTTCACATAACACATGATATTATTTATTTGGTTATTATAATCAAACAATCGTATACATTTTTATTGAATCCAACCTTTCTCGTTTTGCATCTAAAATTTGTTATCAATCAAATATTATTTGCCCAATGACATTCCGTTTTACATAATTATTTGTTGTATATGTTTTGTTATTCCCAGCCGGTGATTATGTGAAATTCAACCTGCCAATGGCTTCAGCAACCACATTACTACTGTGGGGTATGGAGAGATATAAAGATTCTTATGTCGCTACTGGTCAATTGGACAAGATGTACGACTCTATCAGGTGGCCACTCGACTATTTCCTGAAATGCTGGATTCCAGAGAAGAACTATTATTATTATCAGGTGAGTCCCTTAAAACAAGTTTAGTACACTCTGACATTTTCAAATGTAATCGCCTAGAAGAGCAGACAAATTACCATCAAGTCAACAAAATGTACAATTGAGAGCAACAGATTGAGGTAATTATTGGTGATTTTGCACACTGGATATGACAGTTTACTTTCCTCTGGAAGGTTTTTGGCAACTAATAATGTGTTAAAAGTTTACCATCTTCTGGAATACTTACAGTTACAGTTACTGTATACTTCAGAGATGACAATCGTTCTTTGCGTATATCTATTTCTGTACCGTTTAATTCCAAATAATTCCATATTTCAGGTTGGCGATCCTGTTGCAGATCATGCTTACTGGGGTCGGGCTGAAGATATGAATATGGACAGACCAGCATTTAAACTAACAACAAGCTCCCCTGGAAGTGACGTAGCTGGTGAAACTGCTGCTTCATTGGCTGCTGGTTCGATAGTGTTCAAAACCGAAGGTTCGTTATGCTGATTCAGATTTAGATAACAGCAGTTGTCTTTCATCAGATCTTTTAGATCCTGTATTTTGTATCGTCATATTGATACTGTAACATCTCTTCTGTATTTCAGATAGTGCCTATTCTGAAGAACTGTTAACTGCTGCTCGAGGTTTATATACCTTCGCCAAAACATACCAGGGCAAATATCCACTGTACAACTTTTATGTGTAAGTGAATATTTCTATTAAAGATTAAGTAAAAGTGTGGAATAACTGCAAATTAGAAACTAGAAGTATATTTATGATACTGTAAGTCCATTCATTTCACGAAATGTATCTCTAGATAAGTAAACCTTGTTTGATACACCGTAATTAGTGGCCTTACGAATTGAAGAGTAGTGAAAGAAATGCCTGTGGAAAATCGCTCCCCGTGCTCGACCCCCTCATATGATGTTTCCCAGAAAACCACTGACTGTAATGGTACAGGTTTGCTTATTCTAAAAATAAACTGTAAATGTTGAATTTCAGTTCGAGTGGTTACAGAGATGAACTATGTCTTGCTGCTATATGGTTATATAAAGCTACCGGAGAATCATCCTATCTTAATGATGCTAAGTCGTTTGTTTCTGCTGGTGTTCCTTGGGCTTTATCCTGGGATAGTAAGGACGCTGCCTGTCAGGTGATCTTAAATTCAAATCATAATCCTTGTAGCAACGGGATATGAGTAACAATATCAATCCGCTGCTCAATAAAAGAGGAGTTATGCTATATGTACCAAAATATATAGGTCCTGTATAGGACCTGGAATAGAAATATGGTTACATCTAGACAAATTGTGTATATAGCTGACAACAGGAGTTCATTTCAAAGATCATTACAGTTCCCATGATTTTACTTTTACGCGAATATTCATCAGAAGTAAATTCCACAAAATTTGGTGTCCACGAAAATAAATGATTTCATAGTAAAACAGATCATAAGATGTTGGTTCCTTGCATTAAGTTACAGAACAGGAGGACACGAAACAATGGTACAGAGATGCTCATTTCACTGTTTTCATTTCCATTACAGTTGCTACTGTTTGAGGAAACCAGAGACAGTATTTATCAAACTAATGTTGAGAATTTTATGGATGGTTGGGTATCTGGTAGTAGTGTACCCTATACCACTTGTGGACTGGCTTTCAGAGATGGCTGGGGATCACTTAGATATTCTGGTAAGGTATCGCCCTTTATTGGTTGATAACCACTAGTAGTGTATCCCATATAAGTTGTGGCGGGGGTCTCAGAGAAGTTGTGGTAGAGTTACTACCCTTGATCAGTAGAAGTGTACCCTATGTTGGCTTATAGATACTTCTCAGATATATTTGTTAGTTATCGCACTTGATTCGTGAGTACCTAATGCCCTATACTGACGATGGACTAGATTATGAGTTGGTCGTTTCTACAATTACCATCAAATAAAGAGTAAAGAAAGTTCTGTCTTTTTAGATCTGTATATTCCCTGTTAAATTGATAATCAACCACCCGATAGCTTCAGTTGCATTGCATGTAATTTTGTTTTTCAGCCAATGCGGCCTTCCTGGGTCTACTGGCAGCAGAAGATGGTATTAAGTCTACTGTATATAGAGAATGGGCGATTGGTCAGGTCAACTATATGTTAGGTGACAATAAATTAGATAAGAGTTATGTTATTGGATATTCTAACAATTTTCCTACCAACCCACATCATGCTTCCAGGTAAGTGACAAACTGATGTCAAAACGAAAGTCACCCATCTTCTTAAACTCTCCACTCTATGCCGTATTTAAATAGCGATTGGAATTTGTCAACCTGACATCCTTTGTTGGGGAGTCAATATGGTCTAGTTTAGTGAAGGGGTTCAACTGGCAACACGACTGGCTGCTCATGGCCACTGAATAAAGGCCCTATAAATGAACAAACCAAGATCTAAGCACCCTTGTCTGCTTTCAGCTCCTGTCCATCTCCACCAGCTACCTGTGACTGGTCAACCTATAATTCACAACAACCCAATGCCTTTGTTCTATACGGAGCTCTAGTCGGAGGACCTGATATAAATGATAACTATGTTGATGACAGAAAGAAATATGAATATACAGAAGTTACCTGTGATTATAACGCTGGTTTCCAATCAGCTGTAGCAGGTGAGATATAAACATTACCACAAAGGCATCAGTAGATTCGTAGTAACGTTTCAATGTACCAAAGATAGCTTGCGTTGCAAGGTAACATACGCCCACTGGCAGCTGTCAGAAAAAATAAAACAGTCTTTAGTGACTAAAGTACGAATTTTCTCATATTGAAGAAATCATTCATGCTGAATAATTCCACAAAATTTTTTAAAATCAATATCAATAACCCAAATACAACAAACAATTAAATCACACAGCTCTAATCAAGGGCAAAAACAACTTTTAACGCGTTTTTCGTAAGTTAATGGCATTAACTCAAAAACATTTCATCGAAAATGCGTCAAGTTAAAACTTGTCTGAGATCTTATCAACTCCAATGATCACCAAAAGTTTCATCAGAATCGGTTGAAAACTGTAGTGTCAATCCTGCTCACAAACTATTTTTAGCAAATTTAGACGCATTTTAACAAAGTCAAGGGCAATAACTCAAAAACTGTTCATCGAAAATGCGTCAAGTTAGAACTTTTTTTTATATATCATAAATCAAATATGGTCTAGATCCATAGTTCTCTTTACGTTGGACTCTTCGTCCCATATGTTGTTTTTGCTCTCCGATAGCACACCTTCACCCAGCTCGAGAACATTCGAGAAAGATATCTGAATCACCAACTGACTATAACAAACTTTTTTTTAAATTGTTGTCAAAGGAACTAGTATCCCAGGATGAGAAAACTTTTGATACTTTATTTACGTCAACTGATGAATCTTCAATGTGAACTTCTTTGGGGGGTACTTTCCGGTTCCATCCGCACCCATTGATAAAACTGAATTTCTGTATTTTCAGGTATCATCGACTTAAAAGAGTCGGGAATCCTTCCAGATGTACCAGCAAGAAACTGTTAGATATAACTACCACATCAGATTAAAATACAGCCCTAAATATTTCTCTAAATATTAATGGATTGAATGAAGACATCCTTTATTTAAATTCGATAAAAACTCAATAATTTGTAAAGCATAATAATTCAAGTAAATAAAGTACCACTTGTGTTCAGCCATTCCTTGTTTCTTTTTTGAAAAGCCGTATATGTGTTGTTAAATGACATTTGCATTTGAAATCTTCTTAGTTCCATACTTTCGAAGCATGATCTTTCAAATAAACAGATCCGGTTACAATGTTCTCATTATAAACTCAAGAACAATGCATTTGTAAATAACACCTTGAATCTTAAAGTCTAAAATATCCAGACTCAAATAAAACACTAGTAAACTCTTTAATGTTTTGTTTTATATTGTGATAACCCTGGCTCCACTAAAAATTAGCATTTGTAACATGAAACGAAATAACAACTATTTACAATTTATAAGGTATTACAGATGTTTGTAAATAAAGATTCACGACAAGGTGGTATATTCTGTACTGAAAGGAATTCAGATAAGGAAAGGAATTTATTTATGAATAGGGGTACTTAACATACAAATATAACAATATGTACAGGTACCTACATAGGGGTAGATAGTTCTAGATGATGAGAGAGATTTTTAGGAAAAAGGATGGGTCCAATGGAGACTGGCAACACCATGCAATGTCCATGAAGGAAATCTTTTATTACTCTACCCTTTTCGATTTCCATCTTTCGAGGGGTATTTAAAGTTAATGACCGGTAGTACACGGGCCTGTGGTTTATTGTCCAGAAAGTTTTTCTATGTCCCGCCGACCTACATCACCGACAGGGGGAAAAATTTTCATCCAAAGGTCTCTATCGAACTATGTCTGGATAGCACCCCGGACCTTTAGATTATCGACCACATTTCTGAATCTAACATTTCCGTTACAAAATTTTAATGATATTGTGAAATCAAGTCCCGGTCATCTGACGATAATAGAATTAAATTAGATAATCGTTAAAAACTCTCCTCGGGTTATAAAGAGACAGTCGTATCCTAAGTAAAGATGGGTGTGCTGTATTATTTGTACTCACGATGGCGATGAAGAGTGTCATTATTTTCAGTACAGAATTAATATAAGTGTTTACATATTAATACTAAAATACATACAATAGTAATACAACTTTGATTGTTACCGTGAAAGTATGATTTAAAGTCGTAGTTTGCGTTTAGTAAAATTCGGAATGATATAAATAGGCCAAAGAAGAGTGGCAACTCTATACAAAGAAATGCACTTTGTCATGCTCCGATTCACCTATTTTTCTTAAATCAAAGTAAGTTGAATTTAATGTTAGCTTGACGTCCGATGTGCACAGTCCATCAATTGGAGCAAATCATTGAATACGGACAAGCTTCAGAGTCAGCCTACTTTGCTCCGACGCCTGAAGTCCAATTTAGGAAAGTTACTAAAATTCTCTGTCATGATGATGATGATGGATCTGAAAACTTGTCGACAGCACGCGATGAGCTAGAGTCAATGGGGCACTTTAAAAAATCGTATTAAATAAACTCCATAATTCTTATCGTATAAATCTTTTGTAGTTTAACGAAAGTTGGGGAAAGCTCACTTACCTACAAATGTACAAAATATACAAACTGTTATTATAAAAAAAATATCAAAATTCCTGTGAACCCAAACATGACCTTTTAAATTCCTTTAATTGATTGATGAATCAAAATCAAACAACGAAGACGTATTATTAATGAAGAACTGGTTGAATATAGGCCATGGATAAGATGTTTACATTACCAAGGGTTTTAATAACAGGTAGTGGTTTGAACAAGGTAACAAGCATCTTCTCGGGACTATGATTATTTTATTGTTATCAGAGTGTATGCTGATACGCGAAGAGTAAGAACCATTGGAATTGGACGCTGTGACAGATCTTGAAGAGCTATAAGAGGAAAAAGGAAGTCTGCGAATTTGAATGAAGTGTGAAAATCGGATGTAGTTGGAACTCTTCTATAACTGAAGATAATATTTCGAAGGAATGTATAAAATATTGTAATAAATATTGTTTCGTAAACCAGCGTTTACCACAAAGGGAGTGCTCTGAATCTCAGGACCGTCAAAAATAAGGGGTCACTATAAAGCGAAAGCATAGTTACTGACGATCCATATTTTTGGATTCAGGACTTGAATAGAAGCCTAAGCGTATTAACCTTCTTTAGTAAACGAAATAACTGTGATAAAAGGGGTATTATTTTGTGATATTTTAATCTTGCCGGTAATAATATATAAGAAGAAGCAGCATCATGAAGTCAGTGACAGTTATCAGTGCAGTATTTGTCTCTGTGTGTATTTTTTTGGGAATATTCAGCGTTTTCAGACAAGGTAAGCTCCCTTATCTTACTGCTCTCCAGTTCAATGAGTTATTATAGACCTGATATTTTCATTCTCCATTTATTAATTTGGTTTTTTAAGTTACTATTCTTATACTCATTCAGAACACACACAATCGTTTTCAACCGTTGCAACTTTTTAACCATTTATGATCTCATGTCAACGGCTTCGATCCAATGTACTGCACTGCCAGTCTATCGGAGCCGAGTAACAAAATTACCTACTTAAGTAGCCTTGGGTGACTGGCTTTTACAAACCTCTCTCAGGATTCGTTGCATTCGATGGACCGACTGCTAGCGCCCGCGAGCAATAGAATGGTTTGTCAGTTGTTGGTGTACTCAGATTCTTCTAATCGCAAAATGAACCTTCGAATGAAATAAGAATTATCCATAACTAGAAGACTTTTAAATGTATATCAATTTCTTTGTAAATGGACATATTACGAAATATCTATTAAAATCTAAAAGGTTAAAATCACGATTTGAATCTATTTTAGATTTTGGGCGTTTTATGAAATACGAATTTAGTAAAAAAAAAAAGTTATAAACCTGTAACTGGGTTTTCACAAATTAAACAAATTCTTAATAAAATACAGAAATGAATAGAAATCTCAAATCAATAGAAACTCCAGTATTTCCATTTTTGTCTGAAAAAGTAGCTATACACCCTCCAAAATACACAGTTTAATAAAGTGAAAGTACACAGTGGAACAAAGGGTACTTGGCTTTATAAAAAAAAGTATTAAATCAAGGTGTGTAGCAGGGCTAACTTCTTTGTCCTTCTGTATTTACCTTCTTTATCAATGAATAGTGTCTTCCGCGAATTTATCCTGATTACAAAAATAAAGTTTATTCTAGAATATTTCACATTTTCTTTTTAAATACAAATCATAATTGTTAGGTATTTGCAAAAAAAAAAAAAAAAATCAAAGTATTTTTAAGCCTAAAAGTATTTTGATTTTTTCTTAAGGTCATTAACTTGTATAAGTCAGTTAATAGTAGCAGAAAAAGAAACAATCAATCTATTTAATATCATCAACGCGGAGAGCCCACGATGTTGCTTTTTGCAAGTCTATGTTTTCCAGGGAATGCTGGAAAGGTGTCAATCCATTCTGATGCTGGTGGAGAAGATGTCGAGATACGATCAAGACAAAAAAGACAGGCAGTGGTATTTGTAAGTATACAAATAAAAAAAAGAACCTTATCTCCAAACCTAAGCTCACTGTATCATAATCACTCATAGCTGAAGCGGATCAAATACCATACACGCCTCCTACCCCATTGCTTATAATGTTCTCATTGTCTAGCTAGATCATCAACAAAACCCAGACTGAGATATTTCACTGGCGGTCTTTTAATTAAAGAGGAAGTGATCAAGCCCATCAGACTTTTTAACACAGACGAGATCACAGCCAACCCATTCATTTCGTCATCCTATTCTTTTGCGAACGCATCTCTTCTCGTCTCTCCTTCTCCCTCAACTTTTACCTACATCTCCCTTTTTGAAATTTCAGCCGAACTGTAATAAAGAGTATTCGTCAATCCATCCACAACATACAATGTGTTTAGAAGATGTAGGTGATGTTGTAGACCTATCACAGTCTGAAAAAGATGATTTGGTGCTACAAACAAACGATTTCCGAGCTGGTGTATCGCCGCCTGCTGCTAACATGCGGCAGGTGGTCTGGGATGAAAAGCTCGCCATTGTTGCCAGTAAATGGGCAAGACAATGTAGCATTGGGCATGAATCTAATTCTTTGCAACGGGCAGTACCGAGTAAGTAATAATACGTTGTATGGAATATTGGATGTGGTAAAGAGAAGATGCTTACAGAATTGCTGATATATTTATAGCACAATGACTCTTGAGATGGCCCTGAAGATCATTATATAACTATAATAAAACTACTTAACCTCCGCTCAAGGATAAATATGTCGGGATGGTGTTTTTAGAATTTTTTGGTGGGAAACATTCTTTTGGTTGAGGTCGTTTTTTTTTAAGATCTTCTCTAAAATGCAAGCTATTTGGGCAGTATTGAGGAGTATACACGTTCCTCCATTGTTCATTCTATCCAGCATTTCAAGTTTTTATATACTAATTTTCTTTCTTTTCATTATAGCCATGCCTGATACATTCATTGGTCAGAATGCAGCAGGTAATTACGCTAGTTTTGCTCTAGCTAATCGGGCCTGGTTTGATGAAGTAAAGGATTTTAGATACGGGGTTGGATCAATCGGTGGTGAAGTTGGTCATTATACGCAGGTATTGGAAACTTAATACATGTAAATTCGCTTTCAATCAAGGTGTGGCTATTGAATATTGTCCATCAAATGTTCGACTTAGCCCAAGTGAACAGAATGTTCTCGGAAAGCACAATATAAGCTTTGCGATCAAGTTTCGAAATACTAGAAATTTCTAGAAAACTGTATTCAATATTCATAAATTGCCTTCTTCATCAGAAATGAACTCACGTCCATCATAGTTATTCACTTTAAAATCACAACCTTGATGGTGGACATACAATATAGATGATACCCAGTGTTACGAAACAGCAACTATGCACCACCATTATGTCATTAATTTCCGTAGATTTGTTACCCTTAAATGTATAGAAAATTATGGGTTTTTTTAGATTGTAAATGCGGCAGTGTCTAGGATGGGATGTGGTAAAGCCCGATGTTTAAATAGATTTGTACATGTCTGTAACTATGCCAGAGGGTAAGTTTATAAACTCATTTTTTTATACCAGTATCCACTATTCGGGATCCCTCAGATCCTCAGAAAATTTTACGAAGAGAATTCATACCTTTTCATTAGTCAACTTCTGTTATTGTTTGTGTAAACCATGATTCTTATTGTTTGTCTAAACCACGATTCTTATTGTTTGGGTAAACCGCCAATCTCATATCTTTATATCAGAAGTTTTCACTAAATTGATCGTAAAATTCTTAGTGAACCCTGAGCCTATATCTTTTCTTAGTGAACCCTGAGCCTATATCTTTTCTTAGTGAACCCTGAGCCTATATCTTTTCTTAGTGAACCCTGAGCCTATATCTTTTCTTAGTGAACCTATATCTTTTCTAAGTGAACCCTGAGCCTATATCTTTTCTTAGTGAACCCTGAGCCTATATCTTTTCTTAGTGAACCCTGAGCCTATATCTTTTTTAGTGAACCCTGAGACTATATCTTTTCTTAGTGAACCCTGAGCCTATATCTTTTCTTAGTGAACCCTGAGCCTATATCTTTTCTTAGTGAACCTATATCTTTTCTTAGTGAACCCTGAGCCTATATCTTTTCTTAGTGAACCCTGAGCCTATATCTTTTCTTAGTGAACCCTGAGCCTATATCTTTTCTTATTGAACCCTGAGCCTATATCTTTTCTTAGTGAACCCTGAGCCTATATCTTTTCTTATTGAACCCTGAGCCTATATCTTTTCTTAGTGAACCCTGAGCCTATATCTTTTCTTATTGAACCCTGAGCCTATATCTTTTCTTAGTGAACCCTGAGCCTATATCTTTTCTTAGTGAACCCTGAGCCTATATCTTTTCTTATTGAACCCTGAGCCTATATCTTTTCTTAGTGAACCCTGGGCCTATTACTTTTCTTTTCAAGCGTCCTTATTCAAACAATCGTTTAAGATCAAACCTTTTTTGTCATTTTATTCATATATAAATATTATATTCCATTTGTTTCAGACAATTTTCCTCGGAAATAACAGAGCCATATAAAACGGGTACTGCTTGTGCCGATTGTCCAGATTCCTGTACTTCAAACCAGTGTGGTAAGTGTCCAAATAAAATCTAGAAACTGAGTCAAAATAGTTGAAACAGAAAACGTCAAAAATTATGTCGAAACAAGCTTTACGCGAAGTTCTAAGCCGTTTATCATAATTGTCTTAACGAGTAACGTATGTTGGGTGTATGTCATGGGGAGGCGGGGTTTTTTTTTCGTGAACTTGTCCATGATCAGACTATGTAGAAACCAGAAGATACTTCAAAGTCCATAAATAACACGGCGTAATTCTCAGCTTCGGAGGAAATAGCAGGCCTCAGATCGCTGCTTAAATTACTCTCCTCACTGTACTAGTCTTGTCTTGTAGGTTGTAATGGTAAAGTCTGTTTAAATGGAGGAACAGTAGATCTCAATACTTGCCAATGTTCATGTCCAGCTATCTATACTGGAGACAATTGTCAAACTTGTAAGAATACTAATAGTTACTAATAATTATGGATTTTGTATCGCTAGTTCATCAGAGTTCGATCGTGCTGGAGGGGAAGGGAATTATTCATTTAGTTTGCATGTTCGCCCCTTCTGCTTTAATGTCTCTGCCCGGAACATAGCGCCTAGAAAGTAACATCCATTTAGCTTGTATTTCATGTTGCTTCGGCGTCTCTTGCTGGAATACAGCGTCTTGTAAGACTCTCTCTATATCAGCCCCTATTATCTAACAACCACTTATTGTTGCTGAAATTGAGTTCGAAAATAAGAATACATGTTTGTTCAGTCAGCTTTCGCGAAATCGAGATGGAAAATCGTACATACGTGATATATCTCTACCGGTGGTTATCCCCAGTTTGTAAGCTTGGACCTCGATCACCATTTTCCTCTTCTACCAGTGCCTTTTTATAGTCTTTGATGGTTTTGTTTTCAGTAACATGTCCTACCACAGACTTAAAATCGTTCTGTGCATCATTAAACACATCATTGTGTCAATACATAAATATTGTACAAGATTGCCCTCGGAGATGTGGCCTGTGTCCTTCAAGTAAGTTCATTTTTCTAATGACAAATATCATATCTTCCTAATTTAATTCTGTTATATCTGGAAAAAGTTTATTTTGGGGCTCTTCATAGAGCTCCTAGTAAAGTTCAACGAGGTGTCAAGGACATTTTTCCACATACATGTACACACATGCATATTTTTTAGAGTTAAACTATATGATTAACCTAGCTAGCAAATAACTGAGATACGAACCAGGTTTGGATCTTGAACTTGAATAAAATGTAATGCTTGCACTATTGCAGACTGAACAGATTTATTGATAAACCGTTAAAGATTATTTTCTTATTTGTAGCTTGTTCGAGATCTTGCCAAAACAATGGAGTCTTGACTTCAGATATCAATACATGCGCATGTTCTTGCCAACATGGTTTCGTCGGGCCATCATGTGAGTTCGGTAAGTGATAACCTTCTAGAATCGATGACCTAGCTAGGTGAGTGATGGCCCTATTATGTAATTTTTGAAACATATGCTCTCATTCATCATGAGACCCTTCTGTAAACCAATTTAACGCTTGTTCATGGAAGACTAAATATTTTCCTCCGTAGTTAATGCTAATTCTTGGGGTGGGGCCTGTGGACTTGATTCAACTATTCTCTATCGTAATTGAGCCACTGTCTAAAATTAACTATCCCTAGCTCTTATTAAGTGAATCTTTTTTGTGAACTGAATATCGCCTATGTGTTTCAGAATGTTCTACGCGGTGTACTAATGGAACTTTTATCGCTTCTTCCTCTTGCCAATGTACTCGAGGAGGTAAGTATTACCCATACGAAACCGACAAAAAAAAATTCTGACAACCTCCCATTCCATAACTGCAACTAAACACCATACACCATTGCACCTCCCGATATATTATTTGTCCCTCCGAACAATCAAATCTAACTACGGGCCTGTTACCAATTCAGACTCATCAGCCACACACCTCCACATGAAATGAAATTAAATGGATCTTTTTTCTGCACCTGTTTGGAGGGCAGATATTGTGCAATGTACAATAAGGGAATTGGAGTTTTCTTTATGGTTTTGCGATGCCTTGCAATACATAAATTTGTAATACTACATAATCGAATTCATTAACAATAGCATTCTTATAATTATTTCAGTTTCTGTCTGCGATTTGAACTGTGGTGTTAATGGTAACCTAAATGTAGAAGACTGTACATGTACGTGCAATCCTGGATTCTCTGGTACACTGTGTCAGATTGGTACGTAAATCAGCAATTGAACTATTTGATTAATTATTGTAGACCTATTGTCAATGGCTCTGAGGGACACGTAAAAGGCCCCAGCATATCGTTGTTTCCACGAGACAATATGGCCACAACTCTACCAAAACTATAGAGGCAAGGAAATTGCTATCGTCTGAAGGAAAATGTTTGTGAGTCGGAGGCTTGCTCTGAATAAAACGGTATTTCAATAAAATTTATTAATTGTTAATTTCCTCTTTATAATAATCTCGCATTTTATTATTTTCCGAAACAGGTGCGTGTTCTTTAACAAGTTCAGCTGACTGTAATAACCGTGGTATAGTAGAGTCTGGTAATTGTACGTGTACGTGTTTTAATGGTTTTACTGGAGATATATGCCAAACAGGTTAATATCAGTTTCAATGTTCGTAATTATAACCAACGCGTCTTGCCAAAATTGCATACCTTTCCAACCAATATTGAACCTTTGTACTGATATATATGATCAAGTTGATGCCTCCGACTTCTTTACCCTTATTCAGGCACTGAAACTCCATAAATAAAATTCAACTTGAATTAGTCATGAAATGAATTTAAAAGTTATTTAGTTTAATGTTAGTCCCACAACTTCGTAAATTTACTTCTTGTCCATTTCTTTTTAGCCCCACCTTGTTCGTTAACCTCAGCTTCCTGTGGAGCAAATGGAATCCCTGACACAACTACGTGTACGTGTAGCTGTATCAACGGTTACTCTGGTCAATTCTGTCGAACACGTAAGTTATTAATTTTTATTTTATGTATTTTTCCATCGTATTTTTAATCAGTATTTTGGTTCAGCCAAAAGGAGGTACAGTACCTACTAAACTCAAAATGATCCTTTGGTAATGTATTTCAGCTCCAGGGTGTTCCCTTACTTCAAGCTCCTGTGGTGTTAACGGTAACATTGATACCAATACGTGTACGTGTAGCTGTATCAATGGATTCACTGGGCAATTCTGTCAAACACGTATGTATTCAAATTACCAATCTTTGACATAGAATCTTATACAGATAAGCTTTTTCAAACAACAACTACACCTGTTGCGAAGCCAAGCTTTATTTCATTTTCATTTCAGCCCCACCTTGTTCGTTAACCTCGTCTTCCTGTGGTGTAAACGGTATTGTTGATATCAGTACATGTACGTGTAGTTGTATCAATGGTTACACAGGGCAGTTTTGTCAAATATGTAAGTTGCTGTAAAACTGATTTACATTTCTACTTGTCTCTTTGACATTGTAGATGATCTGATGTGACGAACATGCTGTAGTCCTCTCAATATTTGGCTTTCTTTTTCTGTGCAGAAGAAGTATCGAGTTCTAACAATTTTTACTTCATATTGAGTTCTGACATTTTCCAGCTCCTATTTCATGTTCTCTGGCAACATCAGCTGACTGTAATAATCGTGGTATAGTAGAGTCTAGTAATTGTACGTGTACGTGTTTTAACGGTTACACTGGAGAAAGATGCCAAACAGGTTAGCAATAAATACCACTTATCTATATATTTGAAAATCACGTATTTGTCAATATCAGAAACTGGTGCGTGCTCTTTAACAAGATTAGCTGACTGTACGTGTACGCGTTTTTATGGTTACACTGGCGACAGATAAATCTTGTGGGTGATAAAAATGATGCTCTGACTTCTTTATCCCTATTCAATCACAGAAACTCAATTTCATATTATTTCTTTGAACATATGTTCGAATAGAGACTGTTTATATTCCTGCTGTGGTTCTGCTTTATTTATTTACATCCAAATAGTATTAAACTTGAATAAGTCATGTATTGAATTTAAATGTGCTATAACGTTAGTCATGTGCTCGCAATTTACTTCTTTCCATTTTCATTTCAGCCCCACCGTGTTCCCTAGACTCGGTTGCATGTGGTGTAAACGGTATCGTTGTCACCAGTACGTGTACGTGTAGCTGTATCAACGGTTACTCTGGACAATTCTGTCAGACACGTAAGTTATCATTCTTTCGGTTTGTTATGATGATATCTTTGGCAACTCCACCTTGTTCATTCCCATGGCGCAAACAATTTCGTTTCCAGTAAGTGTACACGTAGCGGTATCAATAGTTTCTCTGGAAATTCTGTCAAACATGTATGTAGTGAATTTTCTAGTCATAGTTCTCTTTAAGTTTTAACATCAACATTGACGACGAAGCAAAGTTACGATACGCTCCATAATTTATTTCATGTATCATTTCAGCCCCACCTTGTTCGTTAACCTCAGCTTCCTGTGGAGCCAACGGTATTTTAATAGGCAGTACGTGTACGTGTAGTTGTATCAATGGATATTCTGGACAATTCTGTGAAATAGGTAAGTTAACTGTTTTCATTACAGCTCCATCGTGTTCCCTAACTTCCAGTTCCATCGGTATAAACGGTATCCTTGACACCAATACGTGTACAATTCTGTCAAACACGTAAAATCCTTTCCAAGTTTAAACATCAGGATTAGTCAATCATTTTACGTATCATTTCAGCCCCACCCTGTTCGTTAACCTCAGCTTCCTGTGGTGTAAACGGTATCCTTGAAACCAGTACGTGTACGTGTAGTTGCCTCAATAGTTTCATTGGACAGTTCTGTCAAATACGTAAGTTAGCTATTTTATTAAAGTCCTTTATAAGTATTTGGGTTTATCCAATAGTATATATATACCAAATTCCAATTGATTCTTTCTGATCATATTTCAGCCCCACCATGTTCTCTAACATCAATCTCCTGTGGTGTAAACGGTATCCTAATAGACAGTACGTGTACGTGTAGCTGTATCAATAGTTATTCTGGACAATTCTGTCAAACACGTAAGTATAGCGATTATAACTTATACTATGCATCTACTTATCGCATTCTTGAGGAACCGATATAACGAACTAAGTACTTTCAATTTTGCTATTTTCCGGGTTTGATTTGCACTTTTTGTGCCACAAGGTTCTTATGATTTATTTCTCTTCGTAGTAGGCCTATTGACTTATAATTATTTTTTTTAGCTCCCGCGACTTGTTCTCTATCATCATCAGATGACTGTAATAACCGTGGTATAGTAGAGGCTAGTAATTGTACGTGTACATGTTTTAATGGTTTCACTGGAGATAGATGTCAAACAGGTAAGTAGGTCATAGAAATGGCATCTGAGACCCTGGTTAAAACCCTACTTAATGAGATTTGATGGCTTTAATGTTTGCTTTGTCAGCTGATTGAGCTCCACCATATGAAGCAATGACTCGGCCTTCTTTGCTTTGTCTTGCGAACGCTTAAGTCAAGGGGTTTTCAACGTGGGAGTAATTTTGAAATTTTTTAGGGTAATGAGACGAGGGTAATTTAGTCTAGCATTAAATGCTTGGACAATTATAATGGAAGTCGTTCTATTCAGTCAGGTGATATTCATGAAAAATGTTACAAAGAAAACAAAAGAGAAAAACCACAAAAGGTAAGGATTTATAGGGGAAAGGTTAGGGTAATTCAATCAATCGAAGATGCTGAAAGGAATATAGAAATAAAAAGGCTGGAAAACCCTGGTATAAGTAATAAATGTAATTGTAATAGGTTAAATGTGTTCCTCGTATTCTTGCAGCACCATCATGTCCCCTAACATCAGTTTCTTGTGGTTTAAATGGTAACCTTGATATTAGTACGTGTACGTGTAGTTGTATCAGTGGTTACTCTGGACAGTTTTGTCAAATACGTAAGTACGCCAGTTTAAATAACGTGTGACAATGGCTATAGGAATCATATATTTCAGCTCCAACATCTCATTTTATCTCAAACATTGTGTTTTATCTCTACACA